AAAGACAGACAGTAGAGCTGCATTAACTCCAGCCTTCCTGGTGTCTGAATCTTTATATTCAGGCGGAATCAGGACAGACGCCTACTATACCAAATGTATTAGCGCTTTTGTGTTTTTGACTTATAATACTGAAAGTAACTAGATGTGAATGTTCTTTAGAAAAATATTGGTAACTTAAACGACAACAGGGTTTCTTCTAGAGTATTATAAGCCTGGCTTTATCTCATCCACTTATGTATTTTCTTTGTTGTTTATGTTTTATTTGCACAATTTCCTGTCAGTTTAACATTTTTTAAACAAAAATACATTGGGGCTGAAAAATCTTTAGTGTTTTGGTCAAATTTTAATTGATAGACCAACACTGGGTATCAAATAATTACAAAATAGAACCAGTTGGATTTAAATGTCACCTTCTGTTTGATATTCCTTAACTTTTACGACTTATTTGAATTGAATGTTCTCTTGTTTTCCCATGAGGAAGAATAGCTATAGGTACATTACTAAACCCAAGTTAGCGCTCTCAGTGAGATGAAATGAATGACCTGTATGTGGGATGAGTGCAGCCAGGTGCTGCTGCTGCTGCTGCTGCTGTGATTACAGATTTCTCCTGAATCAAGTCCCACATGCCGCATTTAGCCGCTTCTTGAGTCACGGATGGGGGGGGCGGAGGAGGCATGAGTGTCGGGTTGCAACAGCACCAACAACAAGCGTTGCCGGGAAGAAAAGAGCGCCCAGCTCTGCAGATAGGACTTTGACCTGCTGACCTCTGACTAAGTTCATTTTTCAACACTTTGCAGGAATGTTTACAAAAGCCCACAGAACCATACATCACCAGCAACACAGATAAGTTGATCCTTGGAACAATTTCCATCATAACGAACAATCCCCACTGCTGGCAGCTGCACAAAAACGGGCCCTTGATGAATGAGTTGTTTACCCACTTGAGTTCAGTGCTGCGCTGCCAAACGCCAAAGCGCCACTTCATTATGAGGCTCCAAACCAGGAAGCTGGGGCTGGTTCATGTGTTTTAACGGACTAAATAAGTGATATGACATCCCGTTTTAATGCAGTTATCAGCTCAGAACGAGGCGGCAGCTACACAGCAGCTGAACGACACCTTCAAGTGGAGCTGGCGACCTGCCAAGGAGGCTTGGCTGATCATTTCCCACCCAGCATGCACCTCACCGGCCACTAGCGTCTCCCTCCAGCGCTGGCTTTGCTTGCGGAGAGGTGGAGCTCGTCCCCTGTGATGTTTGGTTTGTCTCTGTGGAGCGCTGGCCTCTTGCTTTGCAGAGAAGTGCAGCTTGACCCGTCCTCACCGAGAGAAAGGGAGTGTGTTTGGAAATCCTTCTGGGAGAAATTACTCATGATTATGTTTCACAACTGGGCAAACACAATGGGTCAGGACTACATCAAGCACTTCAACATCCTGAAATGGTTTATATATGCTTCTGTCTTTTAAAAAATCACATTTTACTGTTTGTCTTTACTAGCATGTTTGTTCAAAACCTACATTTAAACTTTGTTTAGCAGCACAAAGTTTAACATGACTCTGAATGATTGCTTTGGTTTCCACTGATGTGATCCAGTTCAGTAAATTGTATCCAAGTGTGTGAATAAAGTATTTTTGAATTAAATTTGAATTAAATTTTTCCATCCATTTGCTCTTCTGCCTATTAACCAGTTTGTCCTTCCATTCATATTTAAAGGTTGACCTCTGTTGGAAATGTCTGGAAGAATATTATGATTCAGGTTGAACATTCAGGGTCGTAGGTGTCGTTTGAGAGGAAATAGTTTGACCTCTTGGTTGAGGCGTCTTTCAGCATTCGGGTCGACTCACCAGTTCACCTGTTGATCTCCAGATGAAGTTAATCCTCAGCAGTGGAATGTTTTATCCTCTCTATAGAAAACAGTCCCTCGGATGAGTTGCATTAACTCTTTGCAGCTTTATTCTCTGTAAAGTCTGTGGAGTTATTTTTTCCTGCTGGAATGTAAAGTGTTGTAATGATCTGAGGAAGGCTAACAGGCATTTCCTTTTCATATTAAAAGCCCAAAACCCTGGTGAGCTGAAAAGTGGGTCAGGTGTTTAGACATTTTGCAGGGGAGGTGTTGCTGAAATGTCCGCAGCGAAAGTAGGTCACAGTTCTGCTCGATAAATCTCCGCTTTGAGTTGAACAGAGAGCTGTGTCTCAGTGAAATGCTACCAGGTCATCCCTCTCCACCTGAGGAAAGAAAACGGACCCGTTTGAACTTAAAGTTGGGAACGGAGAAGCTGACGGAGGGAAACTGAGCTGGCTGCTGGAAACTCTTGGACTCCAGGCATTATTAGCATGCAAGTGATCACTTTTGTCTGGATCTATGGAAAAGTTGTATTGTATTAGGTCATTTTGATTGATTTTTGTAGAAAAAATTGGCAGCATCATGAATGGAGCCAGGCGGTTACCATAGCACCCGACAGCGGGTTGCTGCCCTGTTGAACTGTGTAACCCCAATTATAGATCCTGAAACACTTTTTCAAGTCTTCATCTTCGTTGTGAGGATCTATTTCTATCTTATCTTACATTCATGCATCTCAAGGTTCTCGCCATCTGTTGTCTGACTGATTATGATGAAGCGGATACAATAAGTCTGAATTATCTCCAGCGTTCGGGTAAACAAAGCGAGCCGGTCCTTTCATGTCGTCTCATTCCAGTGTGTGAATTTCTCCCTTCAGACAAAGCAGCTTTTTCTCCTTCGCTGCTGTGTGGAAACCAGACCGTTGCACAATCCAGCAGCTTCCCATCATATCCGCCTTCGTAAACTTCAGTACAACCCAGAAGATTGATTCTTGTGCTTTATGTCCTTCATATCCGGGCAGCTATAGCTCACCTTTGGCAAGCGGCTCCATGTATTGTCACCTGTGATTGATCGGAGCTCTTAGCAGCTGTGTTTGCAGTTCACATGGCTCCGAGCTCTTTGAGACGACGCTCTGCTCTCGCAATACTGAGAAATGCATTTTTAAAAGAAGAAAAGCTTCATTTAAACATGCAGACCTTAAAGCTGCAGGTCAGAGTTAAATTCAATGCTGCTGTTTAATTAGATGATATAGAATGTTTTTGTTCTCCACATGATTTAAAACATTTATATTTTTTTTATTTAAAAATATAAAACCTTTATATAGAATTATTCTTTTTAATTATTTTAACTAAATTTATTTCGTTTCAAATTTCTTTAAATTGATAATAAATTAATCAAAATATTAAGTTACAAATGTTTGCTTAGAAATATAATATGCACATTTATGTAGAAATTAAATGCTGGTTAAGATATTTATTTAGAAGCTTTTAAATGAATTTATTTCAACTTTCACATTATTTAGTTTAGTGTTTTGATATTAATATGAATTTATGTGCTTTAATACAAATGTTTGTTTTGCTGTGTAAATTCTTCAGGAATTAACTTAAAGATTATTAATTTATAATTTCATGTTTATATTTTTAAAAGTTAATTTAAAATATATTTACATTTTCATCTACATTTCTTTATTTCTACTCAGAGTGTAGAGCCAGTTATCCCGATAATAAAATAAATACATTTTTGCAGCTGGCAAGATTTTTTTTTAGCGTGTTACCTAAAACAATAAGAACCGAATTGAGGTCAGATTGATATTTTTCTTTAAATTTACCAGTTTGCAAAGACGCAGCAGCTCAGAGTTGCTGCTTTATTTCTGATTTGAGCCCTCTACCAAACAGACATCACACCTTCCTGCTGCATTCACTGCAAATCACGTAACACAGGAACTCGGAGCATCTGGGGAAACATGCAGTCAGATTTCTCTCTTTTGAACACCGGGGCTTCTCTCCCATGTTCTGTTGCCCCGGGTGCTGGATGTTGGGCAAAATAACAATCCATCAATGCTGTCAGATCAAAGGAGCTGTCTCTAACCTCCGGATGCGGTGCTATTCCTGCAGGGCCATATCTAATGCACTTATGTCCCCATTATTGTCTTGTTCTTTCCTTTTCAGCAGCTTTTCTTCACACATAATTCCTGTTGCGGATGTGAGCGACTCGCTCCGGGGCGTTGTGGTGATGATAGATAGTTTCCTTAATGCTAATTATTTTTCTTTCTACTTTTAAGTGCAGAAAAAGTTGCAGGCATTCACCGTCCGATTATTCCCCTCGTCTCGTCGTTGCACATATGCGAAGCAAACCAATTATTTCCGCATTTGTCCAGCTTGCACATTCCACTCGCCTAAGTCACATATGCAACAGTTCCCGGCTGCACCTGTTGCTGCAAAATTCTCCTCCACTTCAGAGAAAACAATGTGATGAGAGAAAAGCGCCGGCGGGCCCGGATGAGAGGTAGTGTGACCTCTCTGCAGCTGCTCCTGCTGGCTGCAAGGCTCTCAGGAAGGCGTGAACCGGCTTTACTTGAATCTGCCTTGTTGAAAAATGCACCACGTGTGTTAAATGAACATCCAGTGCAGAAGATGAGAACTAACGTCTCATTTCTGTGGCATAAATTGCTCAATTATTCACATATTTGCTTGAAGAATTCTGCAGCAATGAACAACAAGCAAACATTTATTGGTGTGGGATTTCTCTCTGTTTTCATTGTGCTGCACCTCGAGTTTGTAATCACACATAAGAACCCCAATAGGAGCATTTCACCTCAGAAAACTGTGATTTTTTCATTTATTTATTTTAACCACTCGATGTACTTCAGTAGAGCTTGTTAGAAATCACTGATTGTTTCTCGTTTGAGCTGGATGCCATAAAATAAGAGCTGCAGGGCTTGGAGAATTATACAGAGCTTTCAGAAGCTTTTTGATGTTTGATTTACATGTTTAGAAACAGTTTTACATCAGAATATTTTTATGAAAGAATAATTATACCCCTTTAGTATTTCTACATTCTCAACATTACTTTTATTAAAATCCTCTTCAATCTTCAGTAACTAAAGATTGTCTTAGTAATTGATTAAACAGCCATCCTGAAGTGAGTTTCTTTGCCCTCTGCAGGTGCCATTCTGGGACGCTCGGAGACGCAGGAATGTGTCCTCTTCAGCTCCAGCTGGGAGAAGGACCGAAGCAACCACACCGGCACCGAGGACTGCATCGGCGAAAAGGACAAGCGGCGGCACTGCTTCGCCACATGGAAGAACGTCTCGGGCACCATTGAGATCATCAAGCAGGGCTGCTGGCTGGACGATATGAACTGCTACGACAGGTACGCAGGGAGACTTTCAATAAGTCTGAGGAAGCCATTGTGTCCTCACTAATGAGTTAAATAACACAAAGGATTAATTTTGGACTAAAGCTGAAGAAATATATCATGAGTGCTTCATTTTCTTCAACTGAACCATGAGAAAGTGCATATCCATTCAACTGGAGGGTTCTTTTTCTCACTATGAATTGATTTTAATTTAAGCAATTGTTTGATAAGCAGAAAATATAATTCCCAAGATCACTTGAAAACATTTTAGCACAAAATTTTAGCTATTTTGCTGCTGAAAATTGAATTGGTAAATTGTTAGCAGAATATGCTAGTTTGTTCATTTGCATGTGTGTTTGTCTGTCTTGATTTATTTCAAGTAATTTAGCCAAGTTTATATCAATGTGTTTAGTCTATCTTAGCTGAGTTCCATCATTTTAATTAATTACTGAGTGATTAAAAGGACAGTTTCCCCAGATCTTAGATCTTAGTTATGAACTCCAGCCTGAGTTCAGATTCTGTGAAGCATCGCCTCAGTTTTCATCCAGCTCAGAGCTGGAAGTCTTTGTGAGGTAGCTTTACATTTATCGCCTGCAGACAGCTCTTTCTTTCTCAGCAAGACAAAGCCAGCTCATCATGACTCACTTGCGACTCTAAACACATTTAAATTCACCTTGAGCACATTTTTGTCCCTCTGTGTGCTTCCCATTCGAATAATTCGCACAAGGCCACATTTTAATTACTGCAACTAACAGAAATGGAAAAGCTTTGTGCTTGAAACTGATTAGATTTCTAAAAAGTCTAAAAAAAGCCTCTACTAATGAGGTGTGTCTTCATAGTTTTCTGCTCACTAGAACTTGAAGCTGGTATCAGGAGTTGGTTTGAGGCAATTTGTGTTTTCCTTTGATTCCCAAATGATAAAGTTGCAGTGCGCTGCATTCAGGTGCCTCGGTTCAGACGGCGCCGGCTGGCCTCCCTGGAGAGCGCAGAGCAAGTCGAGGGCGGCTGCCACTTCCTTTGGCTTTTATCTGATGACTCTGAGAGAGTGAAATAGTGTGTGTGTGTGTGTGTGTGTGTGTGTGTGTGTGTGTGTGTGTGTGTGTATTGGCTCACGTAGGAGTTATTTAATAAATGTTGTGTTTCATTGTCCTCTGTGGCTGTGAGGGAATGAAAAGCAGAGAGAGGAGTGTGTGTTCATGCTTTTTGCACAACGTCACATCTTTTATGTTCGATGCACTCTTAATAATAAAAGTGGCTCAGTGTGCAGAGATGGATAGCTCTGTGTGTGTGTGTGTTCCTAATTCCCACCTCAATGTCCTCTGCAGCTACGAGTGTGTGGAGAGGAAGGTGAGCCCTGAGGTTTTCTTCTGCTGCTGTGAAGGCAACATGTGCAACGAGAGGTTCATGTACGTCCCGGACACGCAGCCGCAGAACGACACCAGCCACTCCACCGCCTACAGTACGTACAGCGCAGCTTCTCTCCTCTGCGCTACGTTGAAATATGACATTAGAGAAAAATAAATCAGCGATTTTAATCATTTTGGACTTTTTTTCTAAATAATAAAAAAAATAGTCTGCTTGCATTTCTGACTGGATAATTAGCATCCTGTCTTTTTGGCACAGTTTGAGTCATCCTGAAACAGTGGCAGCATCATGCTGAGAGATAGCTTCATTTTAATGAAGATGATGGAGCTGATGTGAGTGAAGTCAACATCTTAGTTGGCTGAAACTTAAAAACAAAACAACAATCTAGGTAGAGCTGCTACCTATTCTATTGTTCTGATGATCAATCAGTTAAAAATTGACACATTTTGCAGATTTTTCATTAGAAATATATTAAAAGATGCATTTCAATTCAATTTTTGTACAGAAACTTAAACATTTCATTGCCTAAAATGCAATAAAAGCATCCTTGATTATTAGGGAAAAAATGCAGCTAAAAAAAAAATCCTTCTAACATTAACATGTGTAGCTCATTGTACAGCTGATCAGTTGATGGTTTAAATGGTAAATAATTATATAGGAAACGTTGCGCTATAGCATGTTTTTTACAGAATTTGAAAAGGGTAAAGGTATATATATTGAATCCAAAATGTATATTTTTCTACAGATTTGGGTTAAATATTGCTTTGAGTGTGTTGCTCTTTTAGCAATAGGCCTTTTACAGAGTTTCTATTTGCCAGATAGTGATTAATGGTTTAATCGTTTAACAGCAGCTTTAATGAAAAAGTCAAGAGCAGAGACCCCCTGGACAGGCTGAAGTGTTCAGATACAGGAAGCTGCCACTGCAGCAGCCTCCCGTCCTCCCAGTGTTTTCTCGTTCGACGTTCTTGCACTTCTCACTTTACAGCTACCAGGCTCATCTGTCTGCTTGTGTTGGTTTGGATGTGACTGAGAGAAACCTGCAGACAGCCTGTTGTGCAAAGAAGTCGTCGCTAACAGCCTGAGAGCCCCACAGAGCAGCTGGCGAAGCCCCTCCCCCACCCGTTGCCCGCTGCTGAATCAAACAGCGGCACCTTGTTACGGGCCGAGCCGGCAGAGAGCACTGGTATTTTTGGCTGCAGGATTACATTATGTCACGAGATGGATTTGCTAATCCCGCCCCACTTGTGTGTGTGTGCGTGCGCGCTTTGTGTGTGTGTGTGTGTGTGCTCTGATATGATCTCTAAGCACAGTAGCCGTAAGCCGGGGTTAGTGCTGCCCAATCGGATGTGTTCCCTAACGTTCATTCCTCTTCTCCAACCACTTCCTGTCTGACCCCGCAGCCACATCCAACCCGTTCTCCCCGAAGCCGACGCTGTTCAGCACGCTGCTGTACTCCCTGGTCCCCATCATCGGCCTGGCCGGCGTCGTCCTCTTCTCCTTCTGGATGTGGAGGCACCACAAGCTGGCCTACCCTGCTGCCCTCGTCCCCACGCATGTAAGTCTCACCTGGCACTCAGGCGCCTGAGTTTCTCTTTCTGCGTATTCACCCACGGTGACCTCACCTTTACCTGTTAAATGCTAACAGAGGAAATGGAAACCGTCTCAGTTCCTGAGCGTCACATTAGTCTTTCCCAGGAAACAGAAGCAGCAGAAGCAGAAAGCAGCTTTGTCACAACTTGAATCTATTGTGTTTGACTGTAATTTTCTTAATCTGGACTCAAACATCTTTTACTGTTTAGAGCAGAGAAACGGTGGATGCTCAGGGTTTCATGAGAGTAAAGCAGAGATGAATCAATTATTTTAATAGTTCCTGTTGTAAATTTTGTGAAGACAAAACCTTTATAAAACAAACCAAGGTTTAAATGTGTCAGTTGTCCAACTTGAAAGTTCATCCAAGTTTCTCTGTTTCACAAATTCCTTCAGTCTGGAGGAAGAAAACAGTTTGACAGGAGAAATATTACAAACTGAAATCCCTCTGTCCAGCTAATGTACAGAGCTCAACTCTGTAAACATCTGAGCTCCTTGCTTCTGAGGTGAAAGTATCTCAGTCTTTAGTTATAGTTAGTTTCCGCTCAGACTCCGGATCTATCATGACTTCGATCTCCTGAGTTTGCAACGTTGCTTTAGAATAAACCAAAGGATAAACGATTGGCTCCAAGCTTTAAGGAAGAGCGGACCAACATTCCTCCACATCAACTGAATCAGATAATTGTTACTTCAGATCATCTCAAGAGGCTCGTTGAATCACGGACCAAAAAGACAAGTCGTACTTTTATGTTAAACTAAAAGAAAAATCCTAGAAATCTATGAAAAAAGCCTTGAAATGTTCTGCTTATGAACCTCTTATGAACCTTCTGCTTCTTGCTATTTTAGAAATCTCTTTCAGAGCGAAACATTTCATCTGAAATTCATTGCGCTGGTTGAGTTCATACCTTTCAAAGTCTCATCTAGTAGCCGCAACTTTTCTCTGCATGCTTAAATGTTGAAAACATTCCAGAGAAATTAACACTTCCTCTAAAATTTCTGATGAATTTAGCTTCTCCGAACGGGAGGCTTGATTCTCTCCACTGCAGCAGAGGTATATTCTGAGCTGCTCGGCAGCAGGGGGAAGAAAAGCAGAGCTTTCCAGCGTATGGAAGAGGAGTCAGGGGCCTCTGCATTATTGATGAGGCTTTATATAGGCAAACAAAACTAAACACAGAGAAGCTCTGCCTCCGAGGATGGAGGTGGTGGGTGGGTGAGTGGGTGGGTGGGTGTAGTGCGGGGGAGCAAGCGAGCGAAGAGAGACGTGCAGTTCTCTCCACTCACTTATTGTATTTGCAGAGCGCCGAAGCTTAGCAGGAGAGAGATAAAAAGACAGTTACACAATGCAATCTGGAAACAAAGCTGATGTGCATCGGAAAAACAACAAGTCTAAGAGGCTTATGGAGCATTTTTACCTGGAAACGGATAAATGAGTGGGAAAAATAAACAGCACGACGAGATCAGGGGTAACATATCGAGCGGCGATATGTAAGATTCTCTCAGCAATGCGTGAATAAAATGAAATATATTAGCCAGCATGGCGCAAATGAAGTCATGCTGGGCATCTGTAATGGAGTTGAAGTGGATTATTGCATAAAGGAGTAGGTGTAGGAGAGCAGGAGGGAAGGAAAAGGAGGTCACAAGCGCAGGAATGTATTTAAAATCCGCTCGATGGGAATTCAAGCTGCTTCATTAGAAACTTTTCTCACTTCATAGTATTTTTTTGAACAGTTTTGAGAGCATTGATCTTCCTTCCTGTCAGGCTTTCCGCTTCTGTTTGGCAGATGAAATCCAAACCGTTCATTTCCGAATTCTGGCGTCACGTTGCGGATCGTCTTGCACCGAGTCAGTGAAATGTCAAAAACCCAGATGTGTTTATTGGAACTTTGTTTAGGTTTTCTGCTTGGTCATGACTCGGCCTGCTCGATAATAAAGTCTCTGGGCAATAATGTGCTGCACTTAGTCATGTATTTTTAATGTGACAGCAACAAATTGACCACATGTGTTGGATTTAAAGCATCTGGTGCAGATGGAAGGCCCTGCTGGTATTAATTGAGCCATGTTGAAGGACTAATCATGTTTTTTTAATGCATAGATGATGATAAACTAACGTCAGAGACCAACATCCAGCTTATGATTCATTTCCTTTTCTCACTTTGTTATTGTTGGTAAGGTCTTTGCTCTGTTCTCTCTTTTTGTTGCCTTAACTTGTTTTGTGTGGTTAGTTTTAGATCAATTTTTATTTGGATTATACCTGAATTTTCTTAGAATCAGATTAGTTCCTTTTTGTTTTAACTTCACCTGGAGTTTAATATTTGTTTATTGATATTTTTTAAATGTTTTTTTACCTTTAAGATCATTTTTGTTTCTCTTTTTTAGCATTTTTATGCCAGCAATGTAATTCTGAGGAGTTTAGGTCCCATGTTTGTCGTATTGAATCTTGAATGTTTTTTTTTTTTTTTTTTTTTAGTTTTTTATAGCCACTTTTTCTCAGTTTTCACCCACTAAACATTTTTGGTGAAAAACATATTTTGAAAGTCTTCAAAGCTAGAAATATGTTGTATAATAATCAACGGTTAGCCAACATCAATTTCAAAAGGTACCTGTGTGACATAAACACATGCAGCAATAAGCTAATTTGCTGCATAAATGTTTCAACATACTATCATACTGAATTGTGAGCCAGATTGTTTTCAACAATTCCCAGCTTACCTACACCAAAGTGAAACTGAAAGTTTTTCCAACTTGAAAAACCTGCTGTCTGATGTCACTGTCAGTCATTCTTACATTCCTTTATTGTGAAGTTCTTTCAGTAACATGGCCATGTTAGTTTAGTTTCTGTTGTTGTGCAGAACAAAGCACAATTCCAAGAATATCTTTAAACCTGCTGCCTGATGTCACTACCAGTCATTTTTACATTACTTTGGCGTGAGGTGCTTTTAGAAAAACACAAACCAGGGATTACCTTTGGCATTTTTACCTTCTTAAATACATGCACCATTACCTCCTGTTCTGAATATATAATATTTTTTAATGCAATGATTCATTTTCTTAATGTTTGGCTGTGGAGAAAGAAAACTGAGCTGCTTCTGCATCTCCTCATATATCTGTGAAACTTACATGGGGCCAGGCTGGAGGTGGACTTAATAAAGCTGAAGGCTGATTTATCTTCATCACATTGCAAAAAAGAAAACAGAGGAAGACGAGGCATGTTGGCTTTTCTTCAGCACACATTTAATTTATAGACTCTGCAGGCTGCAACAAGATCACATCCAGGATGAAAGGCAGAGGAAGAAAGATGAGAACTGCATGAACCGATGGTATCTCTATGATTTTGCTCCAACATGAAGCACATTTTTGCCGCCAAACCTCCGTTATTCACGCCTCGATGCCAAGTGGAAGCAAACTGGAGTTGATTGTGTCTGAATGCACAGACCTTTAACACTCAAACACAACTCTCTCCTGGTTTCTCCTGGTCTTAGCAATCATTCCAGACTACAGTCTTGATTTTAAAACTATTTGGCTGTGTGAAGTTTTCCTCAACCAATCCTTATTTGAGAGATTTTAGGTGTCGATTTGACTCCATTGTTCCTCTAATTTATTTCTGAGCCAGTCTTTAGACAGAGGTCTATTACTTAATGTATTTATTTATGTTGAGGAGTTTCTTTATTCCCACCCAGACCTATAAATCCAGTCTGAGTTGTTCAGCTGAGGGATAATGTTGACAGTTTGACAGTAAATAAATTGTATTGTCTTAACAGTATTGACTTTTATTTTGGTTTTAAGATGTAATTCTGTTCATATTCCATTTCTTTAAGTGTCCTTTGAACTTTCTCACATTTTGTCACTTTATATCAAGTGACTTTTGTTCATTTTATAGATATTTTATGCGATAGACCAACACAAAGTAGTCTGTAATTTAAAAAATCTGGTATTCAGCCTCCCTGAATCTACATTTGAACCATATGTGATATTTTATGTTTTCTACCATGCGCATTAATGCATTTTAAGATATAGTTGATGTTTGACCTATAAATAAGAAGTTCAAAGTGTTTTTGAAACACTTCTAACTCAAATGTTGGTGGATTTGTTGGCGGCCTGTTAATACTGAAGGTCCATGGTAAATTATTTAGAATGAAGAGGTTTCACCAAGACCTCAGCTTTAAGTTTCTACAGAAAAGTTCTTTATGTGTGAAAAACACTAAAAGTTCTCAGGAGTTACAACTAAAATTTAAATGATAAGCTTAAACATGCATCCAAATACAAAACATTGCATGTTTTTGTCATTGTAGAAAGTAGCGACTTAGGTTTACAGATGATAAAATGCCATCTGCTTGTTCCATTGGCAGATTATTTCACTTATAAAAAGACATTTTCTCATGTTTTAAGTTAATATAAACCAAAAATAGTTTCTAGTATTTTGTCCTTTTGCAAAGAGGTTATTCTTTATTTAGCGCTATCCATCTTCCCATCAGTTTGATGTGTTTTCCCATAGCATGATGCTGCCACCACCGTATCTCACAATGAGCATGGTGGGATCAAATGTCCAGGAACAGTTTGAATTTTGAGGCCTTTACAGAACATGTGTTTATACAGAGATCAAGTTATCCTGGATTATATTTAGGGCAGCAAATAAACTTTTTATTCATCACGTGACAAAATGTGATTAGGTTCAAAGGTCACCAGTTTCTTGCCTCTCAGTATCTGATATGTGCATGCTTAAGAGTGCTGTTGCTCTGAAATGCTGTTTATGTCATTGTGACACATTCATGCTCGCTGGATTTCCATCCATCATTGAAGCTAGCTTTCCGTTGCTAAATCTGCTGCTAACGTGTGACACCTGACCTCATCCATGCGTCGCCTCCATCCTCAAATCAGACGTTTGGATCTCTGACGCGACGATCGGCCTGTGTTTCAACCTGCCTCTGCTTCATCTACTGTCAGACAGAACGCAGCAGTAATCTCTCCTCTTTGCTTTCTTATGCTCCTTTTCCAACAAGCACGCCTTTCATATTATGGTGGAGGTAAGAGCAGTTTAACTGAAGTTCTTTTGGGTAGAGGTCGCGACCTCTCCACCTCAGTCCTGCACCACCGTTGTGTTTGCCTTGTCCAGCACCGCCTTGCTTACTCTGGCTCACAACACTTTTTGTTTTTCTCCCCCTCGCCTGGATTAATTGCATGAATGAATGTCTTTTGTTTGCTTTTGTGCATGCAGGAAAGTCGCCAACACGGCTTTGAATGCAGCCCCTCGTTTTTTTCTTTCTTTTATTCTACAAATGTTCACTTGTGGTCTTGATGTTTGTCATGTGACCCACTTTTAAGGATTTATAGCTGGTGCTTCTTCAGTAAAACGGACATCTCAGACCTGAGCATAAGAATAGGAACTATCTGTTTTTCCAGAATCAGGTTCTTGAAATCCTTGAAAACTTTGTGTTTTCAAAGTTCAGAAAATCCTTGAAAGTGATGTTTTTATTCAAATTGCACAATTATGTAATATTGTGCAATTAATGTTTGATTAAAACATTAGATTACAGTTGAAACCATTTTAATATACTTAACACATAACTTTATCTCCACTGAAGTTAAATCAGATTAAGCGTTTATTGTTTGAAGTTAGATATAATTTGCTAAATGCTAGAAAACTTAGCAAGAAATTTACATTTCTTTGTGTTTAAGCATTTAATTTGAGCAGGAAGGTCGTTTACTTTTACATTATTTGTTAAATATTCCTGAATATTTACTATTCCTAATTGCTTAATGACTTATTGATTGTCTTATATTTTATACGTCAAACAAAGTTATTGAAAGTGGATGTTAGAGAAACATTTCAAAACAGATATTTTGTTATATCACAGTTTAACATATCCCTGCTGTAGAATAAAATACGATCACAAGACATTTTAATAGGAGTAATAATTTCATAGTGAATTGAAATGATCTTTTTTTTAATTCATTTGTATTGTTTTTAGTTCGACGTCCAAGAAAATACTTGAATTTCACTGTTTGAAAAGTGACCCCTGTGCAGATATTTCTGAGTGAATTTGTCTGCGGACGTCAGAGGAATCAGCTCCGGCTCATTATCAGCCTCAACCAAACGTGTGTGAAAACTCAGGCTTCACGTTCCCGTTTATTTTTGCATCCTGGTTCGCATCAAAACCCAAAGTGGACGATTCACGCGGGGCCCAAAGGAGTCGTTTTCATGTGACAGACGGGGGCTGTAACCCGACTCGGCCATAGGAGCCAGTTAACGGTTGGGAAGAACGGTGTGAAGCAGCAGTTTCTGTTTTCCTGCATCCTGTGGGCTGCTGACTGCGTGTAATCCGCGCCTTTCCGCGGCCTTGGCGCCCTGCGATCGGACAACTGATCCGGTGGCTCCCCGGCCGGGCCTGAGGCCCGCTAGGCGGTTTCCAGAAGCAGATCAACTCCAGAGGACTTCACTATCAGGATTAATGATGCAGTTGTAGCAGCTTCATGGATCATTACTGTTTCTCACATCTCATTGGTTCCTCTCGATTAAAAGAAATGTCTCTTGGTGGCGTTTTTACTGGTTGATGAAATATTATAATCCCTGTTGTGCTTCTGGAAGCTCCAGCAGCTCCAGAAACTCTTGAGCTTCACTTACATTCCTCAATTCTTGGATTAAAACAAAATGTATTTTAAATTTTAAAAGTGACAACAGGACAGTCCAAAACATCGACCCATTTTCATTGATAGGCGCTTCGTTCTGGTTCCTTTCGCGTCTTATTAACGTCTTCCTGGATTTATAAACCTGTCAGATGTCCAGAATATAAAATCAAAATATTTCCAGCTTATTCTCTTGAAAGAAGTTCAAAAGTCTGGAGTGGCTTAAAAGGGACAGCTTGAAGAAATGTGATCCAAACCAGACTGCCTTTGTGACTCGTGTTTGGTTTGGTCCAGCTTAGACACACAAACCTCAACCTTTCATCATGGACTTTAATTTATTCACAAAAGCTTGAATTTCTTTCAAAATCTGATTTGTTTGGCATCTTTAAAGTCACGCCACAGCAAACTTCACTGTTCCATGTTATTTCCATTGGTGGATAACATCTAACTGATGTTTTCTGGAGTCTGAACATTAGAAAATGTTAAACACTTTCATGATGTTTCTCATCAGTTCTTAATTGGAGATAAACTTGAGATGATCTGCTGGTGTTTGAGATTATTAAGCCTACTTCATGTTGTAAGACAGATCCTATTAAAGTGGTTCTTTGTGGTTTTAACACATATTTCTGTAACTATAGCTTCATAAGGAATTTATTTATTTGCCAAAAGATTATCCAAATTATTTATTTTATTAGTGGAAGTTGAGTTTTTAACAGAAGATAGGCGGTGAATTATGTTGTGCATCATATTCATTCCACTTAAAAGAGGAAGTGAGATTTCTTTCTTTAAGAAAATATGCAATTACATGTGAAATGCTTTGCTGCACATGTTTTGTTTGCTTTTTAAGAAAAATAAGTCCATGAATCACATCTGGTTGATCACCCACCAAACCGTGACGCGGCTTTCAGTTCTGATGAGTCTTTCTGGTGAAGACCTGTCATCACGGCAAATCCCATCTGGATGGAAACATGACATCAGCCCGGCTCAAACAGGAAAACTCCACACACCTCCCTGTCACAGCAACACTTGAGTCCTTATTTTGATAGATAAAGCCTGTCTGTGAAGATAGAGGCTGCTGTGAAAGCCAGCCTGCGCAGCATGGAGGGTCGTTTTCACTCTGATTTGGCCTGTGTTTGGTGTGAAAGCGCCATGCAGACAGCAGGTCTGCCTTACAGCTCTCTGCTAGCTTAAATAAACATTCAGACCCTCCCTTCACCCTCACACTCTGTAAGGCAGAGCGCTCCCTCCCCCTATGCTGGGACGTTCCTTTAAAAATACACAGAAAAAAGGGAGAGGTGTTTTATCTTCATTTTACTGTTCTTTTCTCCCTGCTGTCACAGAGATAGTTAAAAAACACTCTGGCCTACTTTAGTCAAAGGCCAAAGTTCATAACCAACTGAAAAATTTCCGCCTGATAAAAATCAAACCAATAAAAACTCCCGCATGGAGGCCACTCAGCTTGCTTCAGGGATCCTGTCAGGACATGCCGTATAAACTCTGAGTTCCTTCTTTTACTGCGTGTGGTTTGGCTGCCGATGTTTGGTGAAATAATCCGATGTCGTACGTGTTGCCTGAAATCCTCCTTTTATTCCTCTGACAGCCCAGGACTTGGCTGGAGTCGGCATCTTTTTTTATGAGGTTAAGAAAACACACTCCCCTGATGCATCACTCGGAGCAGATCCTGTCGAGGCCTCAGGGACTTGAAAGTTGCTGCGGTTCAAGTGAAAACATGAACATCCTCGCAGGCCAGCAGCCTTTTTCTTTCTTTCAGAGGCTGAGATTTTACAGCAGCATATCTGGTTGCATCAAAGGCCGTCAGTCATGTGCTCGTCTTTCTCCTCCACCTTTTATCCCTTCGGAAATGTGACTCCGCGCTGCATGCTTCTTTCTAACCTCCCCTCGCCTCTTCTCCGCTCCTCTTGTTTTCTCGCCTCTGCTCCAGCGTCCGCCGTCGTCCTCTGTGAAGTCACATGTGAAAGTGATCAGCCTAATCCTGATCACCAGCTGTGTTTAACCTACTTTGAATCGGGAGCGCTCAGCTGCCCCTGCTTTGGCTTTTTGTTTGAACGGCATTAGCATGAACACGGGACGCATGCAGGAAGCGTGACGCGCCACACTCAGACACTGTGGCTCTTGTGTGTTTTTTCTTATATTTGTAGTGACATGCAAACTCTAACAGACTCTGGTATGTGTTATACTGCCTCATAACTTTACATAATATCTCTGACCTTAATCTTGTTTTTACTGTGACCGCTTTACAGTGCAGTGGGAAAAAACTCTATTCATTTATTACAGCCTCAAACCTTGAACTTGTTATACATAATCAAACCACACCTATTGTTTTAATGGTGATCTTCTGAGTGCCTCTATAATTTTTATTAGTTACATGTTTATATATGGTGGAAGTCTTTAGATATTGGGAATAGGCTTTTAGTTTCTAAAATGAAACTTGTGACTTTTTCCAACATGATTTCTCATAATCAAAAATACTTTTTGGATCCCTAACAGAAATTATGAAATGTTGCTGTAGCTCATTTAGATAAAGAGTTATTGTAGATAGTAAAATGTACAGCTTTAACCAAACAAGCAGACAGAGATTGACTCAATTGAACTGATTTTGTCCACACAGATTTGATATTTGACTTGTGACCATCTCTGCAAATCATGCTTCTTCCTATCTTTTATTAAACATAAAATACTGACATTGTAGTGTCAGGTAAACTTTTTAGAGTTCAAGACTTTTAACAGTGTGATTTTCAGATGTTTAAAATCTAAAAGTCCTTATTGCAAACAGTTTGACATAAAATCAAACACACTTTCCTGGAGTTTATGAATCAACTGCAGCTGCCCTCTAGGAGTTATTGATATAACTTGCTGAGTTAGAATTATTTTATATGTTATAATATTTACTAAATATCCAGCATAGCTTGGGAAGGTTTGACTTTCACATTTCATTCTTTTCCCACGCTCTTGTAGCGTATAATTAAAGCCCACTGCTTTCTGTTTTTTCCAAATATCCACAATAGCAGTCATGAGTACTCTAATGTAATTTTTACCAATTATGACAGAGCTATCATAGCTGAGCTGAATGTCAGCCTCAGCTGAGAATTACTTTCTCAAACCTGAGTATTGGTTTCTTTCACATAAATATTGTAACATTTAGTTCTAGAAAAGGCACTAATCTAAGATTTAACAACCAATAATGTGTTGTCAGACCTCACCAAGAACCTAAAATGAAACTTTCACCAGGAACAAACCCAAAGGTTGTTACTCAGTGATGAGGATGTGTTTGAAATCATTTGTGCTTGAAAGAATGATGTTCAGAGCATATCTGGGACCTTCTTTGGCCCTGTAGCTTTGAGAAATTAAAGTTTGTGACGCACATGTAGCAGAAGTTGGCTGCTGTAGATAATGAATTGTTTTCATGCAGCCGTTTCCTCTGTTTGTAATGTAATTAAATGTCAGTCAGCTGGAACAGTGGAGGTCAGGCGGAGGTCTGGAAAACTACTTTCAGGACTGATTATAGGGCTGGAAAAACATCACAGCTTCGTTAAAACATCTCATTCCTGAAAAACATGCAAGATGCTTCCAGATCACAAGGATTATTTTAAAATGCAAATATGGAAAAGCATAAATACAGCATTAATGCTGTTAATGACCCTGTTACTCAGAGTTAATGAGTTGGAGAGAAAACTAATTTAAAAAATAAATTTTAGGTCTTATCTTGAGATAGTAAAACCACTGCTCAGGGTTTTATTTTGAGATATAATAAAATCACTACCATGACAGAAATAACCAGAAGTCTAATTTATCTTGAGATAATAAAACCAAACAATTAAAAAAATCTCCATCATGGCAAAAGCTAATTGGAAGTTAAAAAAAAAACAACTAATATCTCAACAAAATGAACTGGAGGTCTTGTTTTCTCATCATGATTTACTTGAATTCAGATCATTGTTACAACAAAACAATCCAAGATCTCGCTTTCTCAAGATAAAATATGGACATTTTCTGCAACAAAACAACTAAAGGTCATTTTGTAGAATAGATAAGTTAGATTAGATATAGATTTTTAGATTTTTTTTACCAGTAGTTTTGAAGCTAAAGCATTACAGAAAATTATCTGAACAAATAAGCCTGAAGCAGCTGCAAACAGAGGACTGCAGGAGCCTCTGCATCTGTAAAGCTCTTGATTGGTTTTTAGAGAAATCAAAAAACAAAAAGACACAAAGTAAAGAATAATCAGTGGATTTTTAAGCTTTTCTCTGTGTTTTTTCTCTCCGGCTCATCGGCTTCCAACTGGCAGGTTTCCTATCTCGGATTCAAGCTCAGGTCGCCCTCTGGGGTTTGACTTAATTTGAAATAAATAGATCCCAACCCTGCTGGCTGTGCAGCCTGCCCTCAGCCAAAAACAACTTCCCTGAACTCCAAACCGAACTCCCACAAGTCCGAACAGCAGAAACATGAAATAAAGCAATAAAAACTCTGGGTGAAACCACCAGAAGGCATGTTGTCACCTTCTCTCTTCCTTCTGCTTCTCCACAGGATCCAGGACCTTCGCCTCCCTCCCCGATCCTGGGTCAGAAGCCGCTGCAGCTCATCGAGATGAAAGCCAGGGGGCGCTTCGGCTGCGTCTGGAAGGCCCAGCTGCTAAACGAATACGTGGCGGTGAAGATCTTCCCCATCCAGGTAGGTACTCCTCACCTGAACCTGGGCTGGGTTAGCAGCAGAGCGGTGAAGGTAACGACTGAGTCTTCTTTTTCGGGTGCAGGACAAACTCTCCTGGCAGAACGAGTACGAGATCTACAGCGTGTGTGGCATGAAGCACGACAACGTGCTGCAGTTCATCGGCGTGGAGAAGAGGAACAACAACCTGGACCTGGAGCTGTGGCTCATCACCGCCTACCACGACAAGGTTCAGCAATCCATCTATCAATCAATCAAGTTCATTTGAATAGCACATCTTACAAATACAAAATCATAAAACACACCACAGTAAACCAGAATTATTTTTTATAATGATTCAAAAGCAGCTCTGAACAGGTGGATTTTTAGTCTAGATTTAAAGGAACTTAGATTTTCAACAGTTTGTTGCTGAATGCTGCTTCTCCATGTTTGGTTCTGGGGGTGCAGTGCAGACCTTTATGCAGCAGATCTTTAAGTCATTCAGGGATTTATAAACTAAAACAGTATTTTAAAGTCTGTTCTCTCAGTGGAAGGAGTGTTGAACTGGTTGATGTGCTCTATCTTCCTGGTTTTAATCAGAACGCCAGCAGCAAGCAATCCGACTCAAGATAAACGCATGAATGAGATTCTCTAGATCTTGCTTTAATCTTGTAAATGTTCTTCAGGAGATAGAAGACTATCTTTGTAACCGTCTTTATGTGACTGAAGGTTCAGGACAAATTCCAGGCCTGATCTCGAGTTTCCAGCTGAAATAACTGAATCTGTGTGTTGACTCCAAATCATTCCTCTTTAGGTCTAAACATCATAAGCTCAGTTTTGTTTCTGTTCAGCTGGAGAAAGTTAAAGGTTTGTAATTGACTCTGTTCTTCCTGCAGCTTCTAAAGGGGATCTGCTGGCTCTGCGGAAGCTTTTTTGCATCAAGATGTTTGAAAAATGTCCAATTTATCCTAGAAGTGGTGGCAGAGCTCCAGCAAAGCTGCAGAATTTCTTGAGAGGCTCTCCTCTGAAGAAGTAGTTGCACAGTTCAGTGGCGTCTTCACGCTTGATTTATGCCTTGATATTCGATGCATCCGAGTAGCTTTGTGTGGTGAAGTCTGCATGCAGAGGCTTGCTTTAAATTTCCTGCAAAACTCCCTGAGTTTCAGTCTTGTCATGTAATCAAAATGTGAATATTGAAGATGGGATTCAAAGAGAAAATGACTGACTGGTAATTTCAGGGTGAAAAAGTCACACACATCAGAAGAAAGAACATAAAATGCGGGTGAATTTTGTTTTTTTATAGGAAAACTGAGTTTATCAGTTCATTTGAAGGCGCCATCTGCCCTCTAGTGGTCACTACCTATAACTACACCAGTCTTGAATTAAAAAAATGTTCTTGTATTTTTGCTCCTATTATGCCACAGATTTAGTTTGTTTTATATGAACCTAAAGATTCTCTCATGTATTACCAAGGTAATGCACAATCTGCATTCATTTATGAGTTAACAGCATTGATTAATATCTTCCTTCTCAATAAATCAACACAGTGTCATCAGAACAGATTGCACTTATCTAGTATTTTACTAGATAATAAAATCTAAATTTAGATAGCAGTATAAATAATAGCATCATGTTAATCTTTTATTTTTTATTATTTTCTTTTGTGATTTGCTTGTTTTATATTGTATTTTTTAATTAAATTTTTTTTTTACAAGAGTTAAAGAAAATGCATCTAGAAAGGTTGTAACTGCAAAAAAAATGTTTTTTCAATATTTTGAGCTATGATTTTTATCAAACACTGGAAGGCAGAATCTGATTTCAGGCTGTTGTTTAGCTAAAACTGACCTCTGTCTCCTGAGCCGAGGTGATTTAGTGACCTGAGCCTCTCTGTGTGTGAGCAGGGCTCCCTGACTGACTACCTGAAGGCCAACGTCGTGTCCTGGAATGAGCTGTGCCATATAGCCCAGTCGGCGGCCCGCGGCCTGGCCTACCTGCACGAAGACATCCCTGGACACAAAGACGGACACAAGCCGTCCATCGCTCACAGGTACCCTGTCGCAATAAGAAATAAATCAATTAAAACAAGTTCAGCAATTTACAACTGCATGATTTATTTATCTTATGTTATTATGCCATCACTATTATGTTTCATGGTCTCACAACAACATTATCATTTATCGTAATAACTTCTGGGTCAATTTATCGTTTAGAAAAAACTGTCATCATGACAGGACTACTCTATTTTATATTGTTTCGTTTTGCTTTTTCCTCTTCAGGGATATTAAGAGTAAGAATGTTCTGCTGAAGAACAACCTGACAGCTTGCGTTGCTGACTTTGGCCTGGCTCTGAAGTTTGAGGCTGGAAAATCGGCAGGAGACACACACGGACAGGTGACACAAACTCCTCCTGCGGTTTCATCTCTCCCGCTAAATCTGGACTCCTCTGATCATTCTCTTCTCTCCTGCAGGTTGGAACCCGACGCTACATGGCTCCTGAAGTCCTGGAAGGCGCCATCAACTTCCAGCGCGACTCCTTCCTGCGCATCGACATGTACGCCTTCGGCCTGGTCCTGTGGGAGCTGGCGTCTCGGTGCACAGCCGCAGACGGTCAGGGTGATGTAGACGCCTCCTCTGCTTCCGGCAGAGGAGCTGGGCTTGACTTGTTTGTGTCTGCAGGCCCTGTGGATGAGTACATGCTGCCGTTCGAGGAGGAGGTGGGCCAGCACCCGTCTCTGGAGGACATGCAGGAAGTGGTCGTCCACAAGAAGCTGCGGCCCTGCCTGCGAGACTGCTGGCAGAAACACACGGTGAGCTCCTGACGCCGTCAGCCATTCATTTGTCAATTTATTGTCATTTTAGTAATAGTCCAGGTTAAAAAAAAAACATAAATTCAATAAAATTAAGAATCTTCCTTCCACTAAACAGTAAGTTTAGTGAAAGGAAGAAATGCGAGATAAAATCAGCCTTGGGGTCTTTCATGTCATATCATTACATTATATCAATGGTACATTAAATTGTTATATTTTGTTTTATTCTGCTACATTATATAAAATATGTTATGTTGTATTAAATAAAAAAATTAATTTAATGGAATATTTAAATACCCAGAAAGTTTAGTGGAAGGAAGAAGTATGGTGTAAATAATGCTAGCCTTGATGTTTATTAAATTATAATATATATTTTATATTGTTACGGTATTTATTGTTTTATGTTTTGCTATGTCATATTACATCATATATGTATTGTGTTATATTATAGTTTAACATTTAAATAACTAGGAAGTTTAGTGGAAAGAAAAAAGTGTTGTATGAAAAGATGAAACAAGGATAACTTCAGGATGTTTTATTACACTGAATCATGTTAAATTGTTTTATGATGTTACATTATGTCAGATAAATAAATTCAGTGAAATATATACGTTCCTAGAAAGTTTAGTGGAAGGAAATGTGTAATATCATCTTGTATCATCTCGTCAACTTCCTAAAATAATGGCCAAAGTAATTTTTTGCCAAAAGAGGATTTAGGGGGAAAGAGTCTTTATTTTAGGAAGGTGAATATCTGTTATATTATGAACCCTGAAGGTGTAGCTGTGACCTTTAACCCCTGCCGCCTCCAGGGCCTGTCCATGCTGTGTGAAACCATCGAGGACTGCTGGGACCACGAGGCCGAGGCGCGCCTGTCCGCAGGCTGCGTGGAGGAGCGCATCAGCCAGATGCAGCGCCAGGCGCCCGTCATCGGCCCCGAGGAGATCGTCACTGTGGTCACCATGGTGACGAACGTTGACCTCCCGCCCAAGGAGTCCAGCTTATGATCGGCTAGTCGACCCAGAGGGGGAGCAAACGTCCGACCCTGGTTGGTCGACTTCCTGTCCTCCCCCTCCTCTTTTGCTTTTTAATTTTTTTTACGTTTGTCTTCTTCTTTGGTTCCTCACCGCATCGAGTCGAGATCCACCTCATTTTGATACGTGTGCCTGAGGATTTTCCGTTTCTTTTTTCTCCTTCCACCAAGCGGGACGATGGCGCTTGAAGGGGAAAAAAAAACAAAACAAAAAAACGATTATAAACCCGCTGGTTTGATCATGTATTGTTTTTCTATCCACACGCGAGACGAACTCGCAGAAACCTCACTGAACTCTCAGCGCATTTTAGTGTTAAAAACCAGAAGAAGAAAAAAAAAACAAGAAGCTGTTCTTCTGAAACGACGATCGTTCTGCCAACAAAGCAATGGCTTCTGAATGTTTATAGTGTAATGCTGCTGTACATAGTGAATCACGGAGCCAGACCACCTGGTAATCATCTTCACGGGGGAGGAGGGTCCATTTCCAAACCATACGCCTCCAGCTATACCTCAGTTCAGACGCTCACAGTTTCACCCTTCCTGCTCCCTTTGGTTTCAACTTGTTGCTAAATCAATAAGTAGAGTTGAGAACTGGATATTTGTTGTTTTTATTCTTCTTTCAAACGAGCCGCTCAGTATTCGCCAGCTTGCTTCTGATCCGGTTGTTTGGTTACTCTCTTTTTGATACACCTCAGGAATCTTTGCTACTCAATTTAGTTTCTCTCATTCAAAACTCCGCTTTTCCCTTCAGACCTGCAAGGTTCCCAACTTCTGGGAACCTTGTAGACGCAGCCAGTGGAGCCCCTCCCCCCACTTCCTCCTCCATCCTGGTGCCATTTCTTACCTGTCTGTATTAGTTACTCTCGTCGATGTCAGGCCAAACGGATGTACAAGACGTTTTTGAGGGACGTTGATCACTGGTGCCGGCATACCTGCAGTCTCCTCAAGCTTTGGGGCGGTTTCACGGGACGCAGTTTGACTAAAACAGAGTGAAACATGAGGAAACTTCTTCCAGAGGAGAAGGAAAAAACCCAAACACATCAATAAATGCAGTTATAGACACCAGTTTTCCACATAACACGGGTATAAATGCCACTAACTTTGGGCTTTTAACTCTCTGAGTCTTACATTTTAAATCTCCACCTGGATATTTTTCCATATTTTAATTGTACAAAGTCCTGAGTAAATATATTTGTCCATTTATCCATAACAACTGGAACTAACTTTAAAATCCAGCAGTTATTTTCCCAATTTGCCGTCTATTAAAAGATTGTTTCATCAGATTAATTTCACTTCCTGCTACATGGGGGTGAAATTACCGTAATAACTCAATATTGGCTGTAAAGCGCAACAACTTTTCAGATAGTGCAAAGTGTCGTGCAATTACACATCTTAAGGATTATTTAACCCTTAACTAATTACTAGTTATTTATTCAAAAATATATAAACACACCAAACTTTTAAATGGCAAATTCAAACTCCAAAATTAATGAAATGATAACAGTTAGTTAAATTTAGTTGGGCTTTTTTTGTGTGTGAAATTTTAATATAATTAAAGATCCAAAACATGAATTGGGGCCTTCATGGGGTTTTTTATATTCTTGGCCAAATTGCTACCATTTGGGCAGCAAAATCATTTCAAGGGCAACAAATTGCCCCTGGGCCACATATTGGACACCGGTATCAAAATCTGGGTCAAAAAAATGATTTTACTTGCATAACAATTACATAAACTGCAAAACTTTAATTTAACAAATAAAGTAGCTGTATTTGTTGTTCTAGAACAGAGGTCGGCAACCCAACATGTTGAAAGAGCCATATTGGACCCAAAAAAACGAAAAACAAATCTGTTTGGAGCCGCAAAAAAGTAAAAGCCTTATATAAGGCTTACAATGAAGGCAAAACAGGCTCTAGGTGTTTACATTAGCGTATTATCAAAATGACTAAGTGTATACATAATTAGTATTCATGATTAAATGTTTATTTTTCCTGTAGTGCGTCCTGGAAGGAATAACGCACCACGTGACTCTTCTGTTATACGATGGTGCTTTAAGTTTACCTTCTGTTATAATATGAATGCATTTACAAAATTAAAGAAACGCAATAAAGAAATCAGATTTTTATATCATTTTTATTATGAGGAGCGACAGGGAAAGTGTCATTTTTTCCCTTTTAGGAACATGGAAAATCTGCCCCCTAAATGCAGTTTGCATAACGACGATCGCTCTTTGTGAATAATTACCGTTAAGCTTTTGATCAAAAAAACAACAAATGGAGTGTAATAAAACGGCAGCCCTTTGAAAACGTAAAGTACATAAAATTAAGAGTTTAAGTTCAATTTCTGTGCAAATGCCAAGCAAGTCAGTGCAACAGTAACACAAAGCAGCCATGAGCAACCCGACCTGAGCAACGATACAAAACAATATCGCTAAGTGTCATTCTAAATGACACTTCTTATTTATGTAAATTCGTAGATTCGGCTGAGCAACTTTTCCTTGAACATAGATGTATTTACATCCTCACTAAGATCCGTAACTCAAAAGCCCAAAATTAATGACATTATCCTTATGAGTTTATGCAAACTTCCGCTTTAAATTCAGTAAAACTCCAGAAACGAGAGCTTGAGATAAACCTGCGCACGGTTTTCTTGCAACAACAACACAGCAAACCTGAAGGAAGACAAAGCCATCATATTATTTCCACTCTGTAGCACGAGAACAGCGTCTGTTGCTTCCTTTCTGCTGCTGCTGCCGTTTCCAACGCAGCTCTTCTCAAAGGTCAGGGACGAGAAAACGAAACCTCCAGCAGCCCTTCAATAAGCACTACCTCACTCGCAGGGATTAATTTTGGGGTAGAAGAGTGGCAAACGAACCAAAATCAGGAAGAAATCAAAACGAGGATTGTAAGCTTCTGTTGAAGTTGGAAAGAAGTTTCCTCATTTCCACACATTTAACTCAGAAAATCCCGGTATTTGGGTCCTCAAATGGAAAAATTCAAGCAGTGTTTGAGCCCATTTGGATATTTAACAGCTGTAATAAAAGATCAACTTCAACTGCGATCAGGAAACCGACCCCAGCCGATAAACACCATTCAGGGATTCAGTACTATGCTTTTCTAAGTTCTAGTGAGTTTATATGCAACCAGTGCCGCAAACTTTGCCCTACACCTCTGTAGGATCTGCTGCAGGAGTGGCTTTCAATACACACACACAAATACCTTGTAGCATTTTAGTTTTTTTTTTTTTTTTTAAATCCGTGACCTTGCATATTGATATGTCGTATTTATTTTTTTGATTTTTTTTTTTTTTCTGGCCTGAGGTTTCGGGGATCAGAGCTCAGGTGCGACTCCAGATAAAGTCATACGGAGTTGGCACGTTTTGCGGTTGTTTGTCGTCGTTATTACGGGGTTGTGGGCGGGTTCTAATTCAGGAAATATTTTCATTAATTCAAAAAGACAGTAGAAATAAACTGTAACATGCTTCTTTCTATTCACTCTATGGACAAACGACCGAAAATGAATGTTCTACAGACTCCTGGATTCTATATAAATATATATATATATATATATAAATATAAATATATATATAAAGTGTGTACTTTGATGGATTGAGCCCGGCCCTGTGTAACTGTAGAGGGCCTCGCATTCGGCTGGTGTCGTGTGATTGTGCCCTGTCCTGTAGAAAATGGTAAAAGCAACACGTTTGGGTATTCATTTATGCACCAAACAATTCAGTTTATTAACAACAAATCCAGTTTCTGTTCACCAATGCCCCTCAAAAGAAAAACTTGTTTGCCATTTTGCCAACCGTTGTCTCCCCTCAGGTTTGGTTAAATCTGCCACATGAAGGTGTATGAATGGGTTTCTGAGCATGCAGGCTTTTACAGTTTTCCACAGTGACCTTCTCCAGCCCAGCACCTCACTTTGCTCTGCGTATAAACTTCCCGTGAAACATTTGTGTCTTGTTGCCCCGCCCCCCAAGCCCCACTATTTTAGGCAGCCTAGGATCTGTACAGACATAAATACCCGTTCTTGACTATATACTCTGAGCTGAATCTTTCTAAGTGCGTGTTGAACTTCAGTGTTTCCTCTACATTCACTTTGTGTGTGAAAGTCGCCCGTTACTATGATAAAAAAAGAAAAAAATTCTTTAAAAATAGCTCAAGTTTGTGAAGCACTCGAATGAAAAGAAAATCATCAACATCAAACCTGAGGCGTTCCTCAGGGAAGCTGTTTAGTTACCCTAACTTTTGTTCTTAAAGAGCCATTGCAATACTTCCTAATGTGAAATTACAATCATCTACCATGAGTATTTCCAGGGTTCCTACACAGTAAAACAATTCGGTGTGGAAAAAGCATTTTTCTCCTATTTTCTGGTATTTCTGTCATGATGCTGGGTTGAAGTTAGCAAACTAACTCATTATATTCTCAGCACAGTAAAATAATTAAGTACCAATATTCACGTCTTATCGTCTGGACATAAGAAAATTAAACATCTTATAACATAAGTTTAAAAAATGGCATAAAAATAAGCACAAGACCAAACTGTATCCATAATACAATAATTGAACTGTTACCAAAAAAAACAAAAACAATTGCTCATTGTTTTGATATAAAACACATCTTTTAAGATAAGGAAATAATTGGAAATAATAAAGCTGGCAATCTGAATATCTCAAAATAATTCAATAGCATAAGTCTTAATAAGAGCTGCAGTAATTAATGTAAGCTCCTGTCATCTCAAGAAAGTGAAACCAATAAGAAAATGTTTTTAATGTGCTGACATGATGGAATAATTAAGCTATTATTACAAGACAAGCTTATTTTTTCAAATATTTACTTTGAAATAATTAAAAAGAAAAGGAATGGTAATAAAGGACTCCATATAAAGATAATAAAATAGAATAAAATAAAATTTATTTGATATGAAAGAATTAAATCTTGAATTAAACAGCTGGAGATCTTAAGATATTAAAATGACACAACAATGCAAAACAATTTTACATTTTAAAGTTGAAAATGTTTGTTACTATGATTAAAACGGCAAACAAAATAAAATTACCGGTATGTCTTATTTTGAAGTCAGACAAAACAAGCTCAAGTTTTAAAGCAAGACAGAAATTTAATTATCTTAAGATGAACACCAAACTCTAAAATGTTGGCTTGAATGATAAAGCAGCTTTAGTTCTTATTTTGAAGTGAGAAAATGAAATTAAGTTAAACAAAACAAGTTAAATATCTTATCACAATGATACCACCTTAACTTTTATGCTTATTTGGTAAAATAATACTGAATTTTGAGACGTAAGCTGTGTAGGAGCTCGGTTTCATTCTGCATTGATCTCCTGTTTTCCCCCAACTGTTGGAAAGGATTTTAGAGGAAACATTGAACCTCGGTGACTAGAGAAACACAAACACTACAGCTGTTTTTCACCCCACATTTCTCCAGACTCCGAAGTGGCAGCGCTGATCTGAGATCTGCTGGTACTGTCTCTAACGATGGCGACAGAGGGTTTCTGAAGCTCAAACCAATGAGCAAATTAATTTTTGTTATTTTTTTTAACTGTGACTGTAAATTTCATGTTTCAAAAATAATGTGAAGATAGAAAGCTATCTGGATTGTTGAGAAGGAGAGAAAAGTATTAGAGCAGCATACAAACCCTGGAAACATCAGAGAGAAGACAACTGATCTCTGATCAGCGCTGTGGCTCTCCGCCGACGTTAACATGGTTTTTATCAGCTGAAGTGATCCACGTGATGTAAATAAATGTGTTTTTAGATTGTGAACGCTCACTCTCGTCTTTATTGTGTCTCAGATTTATTTGTTTAAAAGCTGAAGTTATGTTTCAGGAGGAATTATCACACAAATTTACTTTTTCTGTGACAATTAGTTGATTTTCTTGCATGTTTTGATAATTATTAAACCTAAAGTTACAACACAATTCAGGAAACACAATTATCTTTTAAAGAGTAATTCTCCTTTTTTTTGGTGAAAATCCTTCAAATAAAACCTTTATTCCTGCTGCATAATCTCACACTGAAACATTTCAAAATATTTCCATTAATCACAGCATGATTCTGCTGCCACCATATTTATTAACTTTACCTACTAGGTTAGAAATGTAGAAAACTCTACAGAGCAGAGATCTTCCCTCCACAGAACTTTCTCACCGTTGTTTTCCTTGGTATAAATCAGGAGTCTCCACCTTCTGCACTGGCCCTTAACTCTATTAAAATAATCAGCTAAAGTTTTAAATATTTAAGCAGTTTTTTTCATGTAATAAATTATATTTGACAACAGAATCACAACAGAAATATTGGATCTCTTTGTAATTTAGTTGATCACACAGGTGGATTTATTTGGAGGTCAATGTTTGCAGATTTGTTCTACACTCTTGCAGTAAATGGTTGCCCATAAACGCCACTAGATGGTAGCAGAGAGGACCTTCAAAGCCAAATTCAGATCTGAGAATCAGTTAAAAAACAAAAAAACAACAGATATGATGAAAGTAGCATTTATTTTCTTATATAATTTATTGTGAATATTTAAACTAAATGTTGGGTTTATTTTAACGAACGTCTAGAGCCTATGCGAACGCCGAAGTGGCCCACTGCTTCACATCCGTGGGACACTGAGGGTACTTCTGCAGCGCTTCCATGATCTGACCGTGGTCCAGCATCAGCCTCATCAACTGAAACTCCTTCTGGGTTTTAGCCGAGGCGCCATCAACAGGTTGGATCAGCTCCAGCTGCTGCAGATGCTCGAAGGCCTGCGGTGGGGGGGAAAGACATAACTGACAACGAGATCCACCTGGGAAGCTTGGTTGCTAAATCAGAATGAAACTTACTTTCATGATGACCGGCTGCTCAAAGTTATACATGGAGTTGGACTTTCTCTGCAGGAACTTCTTAAACTCTAAATGCAAGGAGGGAAAGTTATGAACTGCTTTTCTCGGGGTCACTTCAGAAGGTGAACTTTAGGTTTTGGCATTCAGAAATTAGAAATTTGTGTTTCTATTTAGCTGAAAAATATTGCATCTACAATAATCAATAATTGTTTATTTCTGCATTCACATCTCCAGGCGTACCATTGTGAACCATCTGCAGATTGAACGGCTCTCCTTCATAGACGTCGTTGAGGTGCTTCATGGCAATAATCAGACACAGCTCCAAGATCGACAAACCTGCCAGAAAGAGAGAAAGAAAGTGTCAGGTTTAATTCTGGTGTGAAACTCCGAACGGGACTCAGGTGAACTGCTTTACCGTGGAGCATGTTTGCGTTGCCGTCGGCGAGACACAAGCGACTGGCGTCCAGGAGATCCGCAGGCGTGATGGACGGCCTGGCCACCGAGACGCGACTCAAACACAGCATCTGAAAGGAATAAGTTTTCTTCTTTTGGTGCAGCAGAAAAATGTTTCACATGTGGATGAAACCCAGGGCTGGGTTTTTTTAACAAAAAAATAAATAAATAAATAAAAAATCCACTGAAAAATTTAAAACCATGACCAGGGAAATTTAATAATACTATTGAGAAACCACTAAGTAACATTAGCAGAAGCTAACGCTATCAATGAAGACGACAAATACAAACATTTTATGGTTGTATCCACACTTGAAAGATTTTTACAGTAATGTGCTGCTTTATTTATCTCACCAGCAATGTGTGCAGGGAGCGGAAATCCGTGCTGGAGTTGAAATGTCTCTGCAGAACCTCTTCAGCCGATTTGTCCTCACAGAGCGTCTGCAGGAGATGAAGTCAAGATCAAGAAATCCTGTTTCCGTTTCAAGGCTTACTGACTCACCGTCAGGGCAGCGTTCCACTCCTGAGCGAACTTTCCATCCGGGAAGTCGTCTGGCAGGCTGAGCTGATTTCGGACCCGCTCCAGGTACTGAGGGAACGTCAGCTTGCTCAGCAGGTGGATCTGACGGTGGGAAAACCGGGACTTCACCCGCTTCTCCAACAGCTCCAACACATCCTGGAACAAAGAACCCAGAGAGTTATTATAATCCATTTTGTTTATGGTTTTGGTTGTGTGAGGTCTTATCTTTCCGTTTGATTTATTGCTTTATTTTGAACATTTAAAATGTCTTCGATCTGCAGCATGGCATATTCTGTAAATAGTTAAAGTTTGTCTGAGAAGGCATTTACATTATTATGCCATCATGAAAATTACCTGAAAATGACAATTTATTGTTATTGTGACAGGCTTTGTCACATTTGACAAATTCTAGACATTTCAAAATAAGTGAATAAAATGAATGTAGAAATATGTCTTGTCAAAAGCGCTAGAGAAGGTGTGACCTTTAACCTGAGTAATGCATGTATGCATGACCCACCAGCCTGCAGGTGAGGCCGACGATAGCCACAGGCGCCTGGGCAGACTGGGAAACATCAAACAGGTTGTACAGCAGAGTCTGATTCTTGTGGTTGGCGAACAGATCAAACTCGTCCAGGACGAACAGCACCGGACGGCTGCTGCTGCGATCGCCTTTCTTCAACGCATCCAGCAGGAAAGTCAAGTTCTCTGCAAAACTTCCCTGAAGTCAGACAGAAATTTGGTTTTGAAACAGAAAACTGCAAAATGTTTTCTCTGCAAAAACTTCTTGCAAAGTTGTTGTTACTCACAAACACTCTGTCGCCAACAACGTTTTCCAGCTGGAGCTGCCTTGTTATTTCTTTCAGAGCTATTCTGTCATCCGTCTGCAGGAGGCCTGAAAAAAACAGATGAAAGAATGCATGAAAACCGCTCTGTTGGACATCATCTTGTGAAGCAGGTGGAGCTTACCGTTGAGGTGAACCTGCAGGAGGTTTTTCTGCACCTCTGTTTCCTGTGACAGTTCCCTCAGGACGCTCCTCAGCAGCTGTAGACACAGAAACACCTTCTAGCCTCGGGATACGACGATTTTCCAACACAAACCCAATGGAGTCTCACCATGTTTTTCCCCGATCCTCTAGGGCCGACGATTAGCACAGAGTTGCTCTCCCCGTGGACCGCCGTTCGCTTCAGCAGCTCTGCCAAGTGTCTGCAGGTAAACATTCAACATTACTTACTTTTTATATTGTAAATTTTGTTTTACTGGGACACTTTTGTGAGCTAATCTCCAAAACCAGGGATAAATTCACCTACTTGTGTTGAGCCTCCACTCCCTCTAGTTTATCAGGAAGCTGCTGATGGCAAAACCTCTTCCTTAAAATCTGATGAACCTGAAAATAAAACGTAGTTCACTACAAATTTATGAGGTAATCAACATGAACAAAGTAAGGGAAAAAGTTCTTCATTTCAAACCTGACTGATGCATTCTCCAATAGGAAGATGAGCATCTTTTGCTTTTCTTTTACTCATGATGATGTGAAAAAAAACCTGTAAAACACATTAGAATGTGCGCATTTTACACTTTAAATCAACAAATATGTATTTATGTTGCTAAATCATTGAAAGCAAAAAAGTCGGCAATGAATAAATCCCTTAAAGATTTATTACATTTTTATTATTAATTACGTGTTTATACGTAATTAATCTACAGATGACCTAGCAGAGTGTTTTGTCAGCCGAATTGTAAAGAGCGCATCAATTTTAAAAACTATTGTACAACAAAAAATTGAGGCCACTTATAAACTGTCAGAAACAATAAAATTCCTAAAACTGCTGAATTAAAACCAGGAGTTTGGTGTAACGTTCATTCCATTCTCCCTCGATAAAAATCAGCCCGCAGCTGCGGAATTCTGAGATAATGAACCTTTGATTATATGTTTAATAAATTGTTAAATAATATAAGAATCGGTACAGTCAGTAGCCGGACAGGAGAAGTCTCTTACCTGAAGGTTTTATGGTGGAAATACTTCTCTATGTTCGCGGGAATGCATCAGTGATGACCACTTCCTGCTTATGATTGCAGCTCACTTTTGATTGGCTGAAGCAAGCAGCGTCCGGAAAGCGAAACAAAATAAAATACAAAATTTAAAAAGAAGATACAACAAACAGGCTTGACATAAACTCACACCCAAAATAATTTTTCTTTGGAATTAAGAATAGTAATAATACAGAGTGGAAGTTGAAGTTTAGAAACATAGATGTCTAAATGTCGCCCTCTGGGGGCGAATAAAATTATAACGCAGGCGTGTTTGTTTACATTTATAGTCCGTCTTTTTTCATAAAAAAAACCATTTGAATATATTATATTTATATTTCACAGCTTAATAATAAAATTTGTTATTTTAATATTTTTATGTATTCTGTACATCACTAAGAAATAAAGGATGAAACATGAAAAAAATACATGCTGTATGGAGATGATTCACAGCTAAATTAAAAGTAAAAGTAATATTAGCAGTGAAAAAATTGTGATGGTTATTTTACCACAATGAAATTTTGGGAAAGTAAAAATGAATTGTTTTTAAGATATAATGAAAATTGTATTTTAGTACAATTCTCTTTTCACTATTGAATCTATGCACAACATGGAAATTGTGTTTTCTTTTTTGTTCAGTATCTTAGATAAAATTCACATTATATATATAAGTTATTGTTTTTATTAAAATGAATGAATCTGACATTCCTTTGACTTTGATAAAACTGGCTCAGATTTTCCCTCCTCCTCAGTGAAGATAAATCTCTGGTTATACTGTGGCTTTAAGTTGATGGATGAAATAAGCAGAATAAACTAGTAGATATCTCAGAAATCGCCTGCTTCACTGAGCGCCTGTTTATTCTGTCACATTATGGTAAAATACGACCTTCTACTGACATACTTAGCTTCCTGTCTGCCCTTATATAAACACATGAAG